TGGGTAGAAATCTTTCGTCTTCCTGTTGGCATATGTGCTTCTTACATAACTTCGTGGATTCAGGCTGGCATGGAATCCTTTATTCCTTCTCAACAATTCCAGGTCAAGCCTCACTCTTCTCCATGGTTTTCCTCGCATTGTGCTGCTGCAATTGCCAATCAAAACCATTACTTGCATATCTATCAGCAAAACAATTCTCCAGAAAACAGAAGTCTATTTATTACCGCTATTCTCAGGTCATGAAATCTCGTCTCTCATCACAAAAACTAGGCTCTCGTGACTTCTGGAGAATCTTTAACAGTATCAATAAAATAAGTCAAGTATGTAATTTCACCTCTTATGTATGGTTCAGACTTTGTCACCTCACCTAAAGACAAAGCTGAATTGTTTGCTAAAAATTTTCATCAATATCGTCTCTTGATGCCACTAGTTGCGTTCTACCTGATATAGCCAACAAACAGATTGATCCATTGCTTGACATTCGTATCACAGCCTCTGTATTTAAAGTTATTTCCTGCTTAGACTCTTCTACAGCTTGTGCAGAAGTGTTCTCCGGAGCTGTCGTCTATCCTTTCAAAACTATTTAACAAGTGCTTATCAGAGTCTTGTTTTCCAGCCTGCTGGAAAGCAGCATCTGTTATCCCTATTTTTAAAAATTCTGGAGAGCAATCTGATTCGTCTAACTACCGCCCCATTAGTCTTCTTCCTATCATAAGCAAGGTTTTTTAATCTTTAATCAACAAACATTTAATCTCTCATCTCGAATCTGATAACTTACTTTCTGATCATCAATATGGATTTCGATCTTCTCGTTCTACGGCTGATTTGCTAACAGTAATAACAGATAGGTTTTATCATGCATTAGATAAAGGTGGAGAGGTTAAGGCCATCACTCTTGACATTTCTAAAGCTTTTGATAAAGTTTGGCATGCTCGTCTTCTTTATAAGCTTTCTTCTTACGGTGTATCTGGAAACATCTTTAAGATTATTGAGTTCTTCCTTTCTAATCGTATTATAAAAGTTGTCTTTGATGGAGAGCACTCTTCTTCTTATTCTGTAACCTCAGGGGTTCCTCAAGGTTAAATCCTTGGCCCTATACTCTTTTTAATTTACATTAATGATCTTCCAGATATTCTCTCATCTAAGGTGGCATTGTTTGCTAATGATACTACCATTTTTTCTTGTCATGATAAGAAGCCAACTCTCTCTGATTGCTTGGAGGGGGCATTTGAGCTTGAAAAAAATCTTATTTCTGCTACAGCATGGGGCTCACAGTGGCTGGTGAACTTTAATTCAGATAAAACTCAATTTTTTTTCAGCCAATCGTTATGGCAATACTTTAGACCTTCCTATATTTATGAACGGTAATGTACTTGATGAGTCATCTACCCTTTACCTTCTAGGATTAACTCTTCTAATCTTTCTTGGAAACCATATATCAAATCCGTTGCAAAATTAGCATCTGCTAAAGTTGCATCTCTTTATCGAGCTCGACACTTTCTTACTCTGGATTCTATTCTCTATCTCTACAAATCTCAAATTCAGCCTTGTATGGAATCCTGTTACCATATCTGGGACGGATCTTCTAATGATGCTTTTTCTCTTTTAGACAAGGTGCAAAAACACATTGTAAACATAGTTGGACCTGAAGCCAACCTGCATTGTAAACCTAGTTGGACCTTGCAGCCAACCTTCAACCATTATCACATCATCGTTATGTTGCTTCTCTTTATCTTTTCTACAAATACTATAATGGGTACTGCTCTAAAGAGCTAACGTTGTGGCATCTACTAAAATTCACTCTTGTGTTACTTGTCATTCAATTAAGTCTCATCCTTTTTTTGTGACTGTTCCTAAGTGCTCTAAAAACTGTTCTTAAGTGCACTTATTCATCTATTTTATTTCCTCGAACATCAGTTCTTTGGAATTCGCTTCCTTCATCTTGCTCTCCTGATTCATATAATTTGCTATCTTTTAAGTCGTCTGTCAATTGTTATCTTGCTCTACAATCTTCATCTTTTCTCTTCCAGTAACTTCTAACTCTAATCAGTGGTTGCTTGCAGCCTTGTTGGAAACAAAGATGTTGAAAAAAAAAATTTACTTATATAAGCATTTATTTTGTTGAATAATGTAAAAGTATTGAAGTATTTTGTTATGTTCTTTTCTTAATATTCATTTTTACTCTGTTAAACAAATATTTTATTTAAAAACATTTTATTTTTTGCAATATTTTGGAAAAAATATATGTCTATATGATTTAAGAAAATAATGTATTTAAAGCAAAATACATAATTAAGCAGCTTTAATAATCAAGCTATTTTTAGTAAAACAATAACTTGATTACTTCATCTTTAAGGGAGGGGGCAATTTTTTTGATTACTTTATCTATTTTCTTGATTACTTTATCTATTTAGGGGAGGGAGCAATTTTTTGTTGCTGCACTGCTGAACGCACATTATTCCTGTCCAAGCCTAATATATGTATACATACATACACACACACACATATATATATATATATATATATATATATATATACATATATATATATATATATATATATATATATATATATATATATATATATATATATATATATATATATATATATATATCATGGCCTACTTAAAGTGTATGGTCAGGTATTTCTTATTTTTGCCAAAAAAAATAGAAGAACTCAAATGGAAAAACAAATGCATTATTTGATTCAGCAAGTTATCTCTCACATTTTTAAATAAATTCATAGCATCATGGAATAAATAAACTTTTATAGCCTCTCAATTTTATTCAACTGCAATTGAATAAAAATGAGAGGCTACCAAAGCCATTTTTATATTATGATAACAGTTTCTTAAAAACATTAATTGCATGATTAACACACACAATAGCTCTCACAAAAAAACCACTATTAAAAGAAAAATTAAAAGTTTTAATAGCCTCTTTTTTTAGTCAATTTATATTAATTTTTACAACTGTAACAACTTTTATAATGTATAGAATGTTTTCTTTTAAACTATTTATCATGAAGCAAACAACACTTTTGTGAAGCTCACCAATACTGTTTACACCTGTTATAGTTCCACCAGAGTATTCTGCACATTTCTGTGAATACATTTCATCAATTATTATACAGACATTTTGTGATATTTTGCCATTTTCAAGTAACAATTTACTACTAGTTTAGAGTACACTGTTTTTTGTTTTTGTTTTTTGATATTTTATTTTTCAAAAACAGAGAAACTATCTTTTGCTTGATTTTGTAAATAGACAGGAAAGTTTTTAAACTTTTATGAGTTGAGGTCAAATTATGACTAGAGGTGTATATTTTTAACAGTTATTGAACTTTTCTAAAGTTCTATAAGTTTTTTAAAGAAAAAACAAGTCTTGTCATTCTACATTAAATAGTGTTCAAGATTTAAAAAAATAAAATCAAGAAAAAACTGGTATAACACAGGTATATGCGTTAATAATGTATAAGGAAAAATCACTTTTACAGCCAAATTTTTGTTTTTTTTAATTACTATTTTCTATACTTTGTCAGCACATATCCATGTCATGTTTTTCTTTGATTTTTTAAAGTAAGATCTTGAACACTATTGATTGCAGACAGGCAGGACTTGTTTTTTCTTCATAAACACTTATAGAACTTTAGAAAAGTTCAATATCCGGCAAAAATATCAGGTACACCTCTAATTATGACCACTACAAAACTACTGGGGTAATGGTACTGAACAATACTTATAAAATAGTTTTACATGTAAGTACATCAGTTCTTTGGAATTCGCTCCCTTTATCTTGCTTTTCTGATTCATATAATTTGTAATCCTTCAAGTTGTCTGTCAATCGTTATCTTGCTCTAAAATCTTCATCTTTTCTTTTGCAGTAACTTTTAACTCTAATTAGTGGTTGCTTGCAGGTTTATTTAAACGCATCATTCAAACATAGCAAATAAAACATCACATTTTAAAACATATTTGAGTGAAACCATAAAATACAAATGTTATTTTTCAAAAACAAAGTATTTAAGATACCCACTTATATATTATCTAACAAAAATTGGTCCTTGTTGTCTGACAAAGACAACAAGGACCAATTTTTGTTAGATAATATATAAGTGGGTATATAGTATTTAGACATAAAGTATTATGCCTATTTAACAGTTTGATAGACAGTCACCTCAATTCAAACCCAAATGCTTTTTAAACAATTTTAAAAATGTATTCTGCAAAAGACAAACTCCAATTTACTTGATGAAAAAAATACACCATCTGGTAACAATTGATGTCACATCATTTGTTTTAATATTACACTTTATAATTACATACTGCAGGGGAAAAAAATCAACCAGATAATCTAACTAAAGTTCTGAGAATCATACTCTCTATTTAGCTCTTTTTCAGAAACCAGAATAGAAAAAAATAGTTACAAACTTTACAAAATTAAAAAAAAAATCAAATTAAGACAAGCATTTTATATTTCCAGAAAACTAACTTTCAGAGCAACATAAAGTAGAATAGAAAGATACTATCAACTAAAATAAAAATAAACTAGTATAGAAAGGCACAACATCATAAACTAGTATAGGAAGCATAGCAACATAGGTATTAACTTTTAAAAAAAGTCTGTCAAGACTAGGTATTGGTTTTTAATAAAATAACCATAAGGGTTATTTTATTAAAAACCATACCTTAACATTACCTTAAGGTAAAGTTAAGATATGGTTTTGACTAATTTATGTGTAAGACTTGTTTTTTTTGCATAAACATCTGCATAAAAATCGAAATTTAATGCATAGTTCTAAAAATTGTTTTTTTAAATTTAATAATAAACTATAGTGTAATATATTATTTTTATAAAATAGTTTATTTCACCACAAATAACAAGTTTACAATTAATAATAATATTTATAATAAACACAAGAAAAACAACAAAAGCAATCATTCAAATTATTTAAGTACTTACATATAACACTTAATAGCAAAACAAATCAAAAACACTAACCTCGGTTTCAGAGCGTACACAAAGCTCATCTTGATTAAGAAACCATTTTACTTGCTCTAAAGAGAGGTTTAAAAATTCATCTTCTCGTACAACATCGCTGAAGTGCCAATTGCAATACGTTTTGGCTCTAGATTTTAATTTTGAGCAACCATATAATTCTGCAAACAAATATATTCCCAACCCATTGGAAGGATGCAGTTGACTTTCAAGAAAATCACAACATTTTTCTTGTATTAAATTTATTTGAAACATGGTTGCAACTTGAAGGATAGCTTGTACATTTCGTTGCGTAATAACTATTTTGGAAGTATAAACAAAATCTATTATACTTTCAACAGATTCAGGATCTAAATCTTTTAAAGTTATTACATTTTGTCGACTTTCAACAACGTCATGGTTGAACATTGAATAAAAATAAGGTACCGAACAAGCGAGTAGAATTTTGTGAGCATATATTTTTTTTCTTCCAACAACTAATGTAGTGTCGCAAAGAAACTTATCTTTCTTTAGTAATGGTAATTTAAGAAATACTAGTTTATGATGTTGCTCTGAAATATCGAAACACGTTTCGTGACATTCAGTAGACATCCTATAATTATAGATTTTAATTATAATATAGTATAAGTATTACTTTCAACAAACTCATGCTTTAATTCAAATAATTTATTTAAGAAATTGCTTAGAATGCTGTAAAATTGAGCTATTATTATAATAGCTCTAGCAATTTTAGCATATATATAATAATTATATAATCTATAATTTTAACGCATAACTATTGTCACGATATCCTTGACAACTTGGTACTTTAAGTACTTTAAGATGACAACTTGGTACTAAGTTATAAACTGTTTTTTTTTTTTTTTTTTTTTCGTGATAATGTCGTGGTAAGGGAAGGGTTAACACGAGAACATAGTCATAGTATTTAACTAGTCAAACACTTAAGTTCCTTTCTATACAGTGGCGCAACTATAAATTTGGGACTCCTTCGTCAAAAAAGTAAAGCCCTCCTTATACTAAGTTATAAAAGTTATTACTAAGTTATAAACTGTTTTTTTTTTGTTTTTTTTTCGTGATAATGTCGTGGTAAGGGAAGGGTTAACACGAGAACATAGTCATAGTATTTAACTAGTCAAACACTTAAGTTCCTTTCTATACAGTGGCGCAACTATAAATTTGGGACTCCTTCGTCAAAAAAGTGAAGCCCTCCTTATACTAAGTTATAAAAGTTATTACTAAGTTATAAACTGTTTTTTTTTTTGTTTTTTTTTCGTGATAATGTCGTGGTAAGGGAAGGGTTAACACGAGAACATAGTCATAGTATTTAACTAGTCAAACACTTAAGTTCCTTTCTATACAGTGGCGCAACTATAAATTTGGGACTCCTCCGCCAAAAAAGTAAAGCCCTCCTTAATTTTTTCTCCCGTTTTTTTCACGTATCCCTTATACGTGAAAAATTATAAATTCATAAAATGTATTTTTTTTTGTTTTGTCTTTTTGTTCTTGGTGACAAGACCTAATGGTCTTCTGCGAGTCTCCGCGTTCTTTTTTTTTTATATTAACAAAAAAGTCTTAGTTTTATCTTTTATTTATTTCTTATTGAGTAAATTAATTAATTTTTCTTTGATTACAATATAATCAAAGAAAAATTAATTAATTTACAATTAGATCGTTAGGAAAAATTTACAATTAGAACGTTAAGAAAAATTTACAATAAGATTGTTAAAAAAGTTACTCAATAAGAAATAAATAAAAGATAAAACTAAGACTTTTTTGTTAATATAAAAAAAAAAGAACGCGGAGACTCGCAGAAGACCATTAGGTCTTGTCACCAAGAACCGCTCGTGAATTAAAACTTCATAAAATTCAATATATATATATACATATATATATATATATATATATATATATATATATATATATATATATATATATATATATATATATATATATATATATATATATATATATATATATATATATATATATATATATATATATATATATATATATATATATATATATATATATATATATATATATATATATATATATATATATAAGGTCAAGTGCATATATAGCTAATCACATTTAAGTGCATGTTCTTATAAATATTCAACTGAATAAACTAAAATAATACATCAAATTAATAACGTTTAAAAATATGACAATATATCATCATGAGACAAAATGATTTCTTTAAGCTTATTTCTGAATGAAAAACAACTCCATTGCAGAGAAAAATTAAAATGTTTTAAAACTATTTTGTTCCAAAGAAAAGCTCCTCGAAAAGAAATACTAGATTTTCCAAAATTAGTCTGAAAAAGTGGTTGACGAATTAAATTATCATTTCTTAAATTGTATTTATTTTTATATTTCAGCGTGTATAAATTATGAAAAGAAACTGGGGAAGAGTTAGTTTTACATTTATACATAAAACAAAGAATATTAAAAACATTCAGCTGATATATATTAAGAATTTTCATTTAAAATAAAAGAGGCTTGGCATGAGTAAATCTATTTTTAAAATTAATAAGACGAGCAACGTGCTTCTGTTGACCATAAAGAGGTTTCAGTTTACATTTATTGGCATTGCACCAAGCAATATTTGCATAGTTTAAATGACAATGGATAAAAGAGAAATATAATTGAATTAGACTACGTTTATTTAACACACCTCTAGCTTTATAGCTAGAGGTGTGTTAAATAAAACGTAATATTTATTTAACACACCTCTAGCTTTAAAGTAAAGGTAGTTCACAAGGAAGTAGTTTTTTTTTAGACGCTGGATGAAAAAGTGTCCATTTTATTTTTTTAACATTTAGTGAAAGTTTATTAATTTTAAACCAATCAGATATTTTTGTTAATTCCATGTTCATATCTCGAAATAATGTAGTGATGCTATTATCAGATAAAAAGAGGTTAGTGTCATCGGTAAACATGACTGACATCAAATTAGAAGCTTTATGAAGATCATTAATATAAATGAGAAAGAGAAGGGGTCCTAATATTGAGCCCTGCGGAACCCCACATGTTATGTTTAATAAATTAGGTGGGTTAACTTTATTACTATAAACAAACTGTTTGCGGTTACTTAAGTAACTTTGAAGTAACTTTAAAACATTTCGTTTAATTCCATAATATTTAACTTTTTTAAGGAAAATTTGGTGATCGATTGTTTCAAAAGCTTTTGATAAATCTATGAAAACTCCCAACGTATAATGGGAATTTTCAAACGATTCAGAAATACTACGAGTTATATGGAGCATTGCGTGTTCTGTTGATGTTTTTTTTTGAACCCGTATTGATTAGTATAAGGTATATTATTTAAAGAAAGGTGATTATAAATTACGTTATATAAGATTCTCTCTAACACTTTAGAAAAAACAGGTAAAACAGAGATTGGGCGATAATTTGTAAGATTTGTAGTATAACCTTCTTTGAAAATTGGTATGACTTTGGCTATTTTAAGATGGTCTGGAAATATTCCCTGTTTTACTGAACAGTGTAAAACTTTAAATAGTACATCTTTCAAATGCTCATACGAGTCAATGACCACATTACTATATATACCGTCGTGACCGACAGATTTATTAGACTTAAGCATTTTAAAAGATTGCTCAATTTCTTCAAAAGATAATTCAAAGGAAGTTAGAGACGAAGTTAACGGAAAATCAAAGTTATCCATTTTGTTTATCACAAAATGGAATTTTTTTTGCAAGATTTGGGCCAACTGACACAAAGAATTTATTTAATTCATCGCATATCATTGTTGGATTGGACAAAAATTTATCATTAATTTTTAAGATTACAGGCAGTGCGCATGTTTTTGTTTTTTGCATGCCAATAACTTCTCTTAGAATTTCCCAGGTGCGTTTAGAATTATGTTTGTTCATTACAAGTAAATTGGAGTAGTACAGTTTTTTTTAAATTCTTTCTTTGTGTTTCAAACTTTCTGATATAATTTTTGTAAAGAATCTTACTTTCTTGTGTTTTTGCTTTCAAGTATTTAACATATAACTTTTGCTTTATTTTAGAAGATTTTCTAAGATCTTTTGTGATCCACGCTGACATTAAACCTCTATTTTTTTTTAATTACAGTACATTTTGGAAAATTTACGTTGTATATTTCATAAAAAGTTTTAAAGAATGCGTCATAAGCTATATTAACGTCTGCAGAAGCATTTACATTTTTCCAATGCAGTAGGGATAACTGTTCTTTAAATGAATTTAAATTCGCTAAAATAAAAAAGCGTTTTGTAAACGTTACATTCTGTTGGGGTATTTTTGCTGAGGCAATGTTAATTGAGAAAAAAATTGGGAAGTGATGAGATGTCATATTTAATAATACCTTTTTAAAGAGATTTATTAAAAATATCAGTTGAAATGATATTGTCTATTAGGTAACTGATGTCTCAGTTATTCTAGTTGGTTTATTAATTAACGGAAACGCTCCATGTTCAAATAAATCATTAAAAAAATTTTTAATCCCACAATTGGTTTGGTATTGAAAACAATTCAAATTAATGTCACCTATTAGGTAGTATATATTTTTTTTTCATGAGTGCTTATTCTTAAAATATCATTTAAAAATAAACTGAATTTTTTGAATTTGGCAAGAAGGTGTGCGATAGCAACAACTTATAATTAAACTTTTGTCTTTTTTGGTTTTAATTTCAACTGTTAAAACCTCTTTTAACAGAATTACTCATATCAGGCCTAATTAAATAGCTTAAACCACTGATCTCAAAATAATAACTGTTATTATTTTGAGATCAGTGAGCTTAAACATTCTTTAATATAAATTACTACACCACCGCCTCGCTTATTATTATGACGCTCTAAATGAATTATTTTGAAACCTGGTAAACAGTAATTTGAGTTAGAATTTAAGACTTCCGAGCTACACCAGGTTTCAGACATGCAAATTAGACTAAAAATACTAAGGGATTCTTTTATATTTGTACAAAAGTTTTCAAAAATTTTTGTTAAGCTTCTTATATTAACATGCAAAATTTTAAAATTATTTGAAATAAGAAATTCTTCAATCTCATTAAAATAATAATACAAGCAGTTGCTTTTTAATGCACATGCTTCGATAAAATAATTAGAAAACTGGGTCCGATTTGAAGTTGTCTAATAAACCATCAGTTTGAATAAAATCAAAAGAGTTTAAATCCGAATTTTTTGAGTTATTTGAATCCATTTTTATTTTATTTGTTGTTATTATTTGATAAATAAAAGAACTTCTTTTTTAAAAATCCCGTGTTACTAATTTATTATAAACAACTTTCGCACCTTTTTGTCTTAGGTCTTTAGCGTCTGTAAACAATTTTTTACGAAGCCGACTTGTTCGTTCGCAAAAATCCTCGTTAATGAAAAGGCGATCATTCCAAAATTTCATTTTGATATATTTGTCGAGGATAGCTGTTTTGTCTTTATAATTAAGGAATTTTACAACGGTTGTTCTGTGTTTTTTATTATTTTCACTTTCATCTTTTTTTCCAACTCGATGAGCCCGTTTAATGACAATGACAAAATTGTCTTTAATTTCAAGTTTTGTTAATAGTAATTCTTTAACTTTATTTTCACAATCATTCCAACTTTTATTACCAGATTCATCAATCCCGTTAATTCTCAAATTATTCCGCCTGCTTCTGTCTTCAAGCTCTGCTATTT